TAATATTGAATATTAAATTGTGACAAAAAATAATTAGGCAAATAAGTCAACTCAAAATCAAAGCCCGCCTCGATATAAAGATAAAAACCGTAATATTTCTCTCACTCTTAGAAATAGATAGCCATAACTTTATATCGCTGGAAAGGGTTAAACGCCAGCATTTTTTTAAGTTCATAGGCAACTACGATTTCCATTTAAAAAATTATATTTTTTATTATTTCTGACAAAAAGAGCAAGCAAAGGTTTGTGCTTAAAAAGTGCCTTAAGAACGTTTTTACAGAATTTTATTATTCAGCGAAATAAAAAAGTTATAGGCAATTTTCAAAATGGCAAAAAAATCAAAAAGACCCGGTATCTCTGTTAGCAGTGAAAATAACAACAGGCGGTTTACGCCTTTAAACGTGTCTCAGAAATCGAGCCCATGACATCTATGTCGGTTTTGCTCTATCTAGTCAGGAAATAGATTTTCTCTGTTAAAACAGACTAATTTCGACCACCCTGTACATTAAAAAAATCGTTAATATATAAGACAAGTCAAATATATTTTTAAACTGTTGTTTTTTAAATGGAACGTTTTTTTTTGTTTTGCTTAGATGATTACTCACAAAATTTTCGTCTTAAAGATGTAGTAGTTTATGATATTATTACAGTAGGCTCGCGATATAGTGAACTAATTAATGCAAAGCCAGTTCACTGGATCGATTTGTTCACTATATGGAATATTCCAAAAATTCACTAAAACAACAGTTGTCATTAGTAAACGAACTTTACTAACTATGGAAAAAACGTTATAAGTATATTGAACTAATAAAAAAGTAGTTTATTCTTTTTTATCGAAAAATGAGGTAATTTTTGTTTGTGTTTTTTGTCTCATAAACCCTTTTTGGACCATTTCATTTCTTAAGTTTTTTAAAACGAGCAGACTGGAGTATTCACTTCATTTTCTTCAGACCATTGAATTACGTTGTTAAGTGATTTGATCGCAGATTCAGTTGTCACACGTTCTCTTATTACTTCAACTTCTTCCCGTTCTTGATCTTGACAATTTTCGTCACTTTTGCTGTGGTCTTCAGATTCTTTATTCGGCAAAATATCTTTATTCCAACGTCTATATCCATGGTGTGAATGTTGACGTCAGGATTGAAGGCTTCTAGTAAATCAACAATTTCTGATCTTACTGTATCGATTTTCTCATTCATTATTCGACTTCTTAGAACACTTAAAGGAATTTCTTCTTCATCATCATCTTCGTTGGCTAATAGCGAAAGTAGATTGTGCCAACATTTTTCTATAACTTCAGGCTTTAAATTTTTCCATGCCAGGGCCAAATGTACAATGGCGTCTCTTAAAGAAAGAGATTTCAGAGTTTCTCCTATATCCTTATTGGTACCAATAATCTGAGACAACAAATTTTTGCCATAAAACAGTTTTGTTAAACGAATCGCATTTTGGTCCATTGGTTGTATCAATGGAGTAACGTTAGGTGGCATGTAAAGAGTAAAAATGGAACCATCATCACTTTTTAGTTCCTCAGGGGGTGGATGACTTGATGCTTTGTCTAACAAAAGGACGGCTTTAACTGGCAGATTTTGACTACGTAGGACCTTTGTCACCTGAAACAAGTTGAAACAAAACTTTAAATCACAAGCAGGAACAGCAAAAAAGGGAAAAAATCGTGGCAAAAACAAATTTATAGGGTTCAAAATTACACAGATGAAATAAGTCGTTTTTGTTCGTAAAAATGGTACAATTTAAAATGTTTTCCTATTGCGAAACTTACCTCTGGAATAAACATCTTGTAAACCCATTCTCTAAAAATTGCTGCTGTCATCCAAGCAGCTTTGGAATTTCTATAATGAACAGGACAGTTGAAATTTCGAAATGATAAGGATTTTTGGATTTTCCAATTACTAGTGGTTTTAATTTGTGCGTCCTGCCGCGTTTGTGCATGCTAGAAAGGTCACTCTATGTTTTTCGGTTTTCCTTCCTGGAGCTGTTTTCTCTTCGCGAGCTACATATGTTTTTCCAGGAAGAAGCTTCCAACATAAGCCAGTTTGGTCTGCGTTGCAAATCTGATCTTCCGACAGTTGAAGATCTTTAATTTTTACTTCTAGATTTCTTTTGAAAGGATGAACAAGCTCAGGCTGTGATGACAGTTTTTCTCCTGAAATCTTTAAGTAACGTATTCCAAAGCGCCTTTTATATTTTTGCAACCAGCCGCTGCTTGCATGGAAAGGCGAAGATTCTTTGTATTCATTGTGAAGCAGCTTGGCCTTCTCTTGGATCATTAAACCGGTCACGGGAAGATTCTTCTCTCTTTGTTTTAGAAACCACTTATATAGAGCTTTTTCCATTCGTGGACACTCTGAATGTCTTAAGGTTTTCATTTTTCCTGGTCCGTTAAAAGTATTGTTAATCTTTTTCAAAATGTTTACCCTTCTGTTTCGAATAGAGCATATGGTAGATTTAGCAATAACATATTCTTTGGATAAAACAGTCAACCCTACACTTTTCTTTAAGTCTTCTAATATCTTGGCTTTATCACTTAGGCTTAAATGTTTTCTATTTTTTGCCATATTTCACCCGCGAAACGACCTGATGCAATCACAATCCGCAAGAAACTGCTGTGATACAATTACACAAAGGAAAACAAAACGTTTAAAATCGTTTTCCTGTATCGACGTGTTTGTTGACGAACATATGCTTTTGGGATCATTATTTCGAGAGCCACTTTGTTCACTCTACAGAATACATTAACAAAAAATTGTCTGTTCACTATTTAGAGTAGTTTACTATACAGCATGTTCACTATATCGCGAGTCTACCGTATAACCAAGTTTAGATTAAACTTTCTAATCATTTAAAGCTCTTTAAAAACCGCCTAACTATTGCTATTGATTTAATTTTGATTGAAGACTGAAAGTATCTATTTCATTATAGTCTTTTGTTGTAAAACATTGCACAAAATTCATTGCATACAATTTACTTCTATAAAAAAGTGCTTCGTTTGTCCGCTAGAGGCATCGAACTTAAAAAAATAAACAAAAATACGTAGTAATTCTATGTCCACGGAATATGGGGACGCCCTGTATTCATTAGGTCACCCTGTCATGATATAATTCTAGATTTTCGTAATTTATTTTTGTAAACATCACTGCATTGAACGCAAATGGAAACCATTCATTGTCTTAAATTGTAATTGGATTTTAATTAGTAAAATAAATTTGCCTAACTGACCAAAAATGCTTGACGTTTCAGTAGGTATATTTCCTTCCGCCGTCAAAAGCGAAGAAAACAAGAACGCTTTAGTGTTTAGCAGATACGCTTATTATTATAAACATGTTGACGTTCCGATACGGTTAAGGGGAAGTATTGTTTTTTTCGTTTAGGCCATGTTTAGGCTCACTTCTTTTACTCGTAAAAAGTCACTGACAAGCTGGTTTCAGTTCGATGATGTTTAAAAAAAATATAGATAGAGATTTTTAATATTGTATACAGGGTCCGGCAATAGTGCGTCGGACATCTGTAGCTCCTAGAATAAAAAAAAACTTGAGAATTTTGTTTAAGTGCAGACCTAAAGTATGTACCACGATGTATTTCCGGAAAATATTTTAACTTCTATAGGGTGGCTCAAAAAAGTGTGAGTGGATCTAGATGATTTTTTTTAAACGGGACACCCTGTATATTATTGCATTTTTGGCTTCCTTTCAGATCATTTTACATAATCCTAAGATATGAGTAAATATATTTTGATAGTTTTAGAGATATTAAAAAATAAATCAAAAATATAGATTTCTCAACCCTTCTTAAAAAAAATATTAAAATTATAAGAAATGTTCTGAAGTCAAAACTATATTAGATATTTACTTTAGATGGTCTGTTCTTACTTTGCTTAAATATGGTAATCGTAAATCATACAGGATGTTCAATATTTTACGCCAAACTTTCAAAAATATAAAACAATTTTTCTTGTTTTTTTTTAAATGGAACACCCTGTATATTATTTTTTTATTTGATGGAGAATTAAAAAATGAGCGTTTTTTGTATTTAAAGTATTTCAAAATTTTTAATAGTTTTCCGGATACACGCAGCATTATTTCATATGGCGCTTTCAGTGGTAAAATACGAGAGAAAAATCATTGGGTGGCTTTGATAAAAATTTACTGTCGAAAATGCCATATGAAATACAAAACCGGGAATATCTGCGAAACCGTTAAAATTTTTGAAATACTCTAAATGCAAAAAATGTTAATTTTTTAATTCTCCATCTATTGAAAAAATAATATACAGGGTGTCCTATTTAAAAAAGCAAAGAAAAATTATTTTATATTTTAGAAAGTTTGGCGTAAAATTTTGAACATTCTGTATGATTTACGATTTCCATATTTATAGCAAAGTAAGTACAGACCATCTAAAGTAAATATATAATATAGTTTTGATTTCAGGACAGTTCTTGTATTATTAATATTTTTTTAAGAAAGGCTGAAAAATATATAATTTTTATTTACTTATTAATATCTCTGAAATTATCGAAATATATTTACTCATGTCTTCGGATTATGTAAAGTGATCTGAAAGGAAGCCAAAAATGCAATAATATACAGGGCGTTCCATTTAAAAAAATCATCCCGATCCACTCACACTTTTTTGAGCCACCCTATAGAAGTTAAAATATTTTTCTGAAATACATCCTAGTACATACTTTAGGTTTGCACTTAAAACAAAATTCCCAAGTTTTTTATTCTAGGAGCTACAGATGCCCGACGCACTATTGCCGGACCCTGTATTTCTTTTCTAGCCGTGAAAAATCCAGTTTTTTTCAAGAGATGAACACTCAACAAAGGTTTAGACAGTGAAGCTATTAGGTCGCCCTGTATAATATTAAAAAAAAATATATTTACTTTATTTTGACGTAAGCAACAACTCAAAATCGAATTAAAAATTCATTTACATGGGGCAATTTCTACGTACAAACTTTCCGCACTAAAACGCATTTTAAACAGCCAAATCGTTTGTTGCATAGTTTATAAATACTAGTACATTATTAAGTCACTATTAGTACCTTGGTCGGTACCGTCTACCAACTTCTATAGAGTCGGATAAGTGTCATTCAAATACAGATTGAATACCTTCTGTGTATTTATTGGTAAGACGTGACAGTGCGAAGGTAGAATTGTTTTGGTGCATCTGTGAGGACTACCTGGGCGAGCGGCTATACATCAGTTGGTACTGTCGACACGCACATCGTTACCAAAAATATTCGCGCTTTCTTTACACTTTGGCGAAGGCAGTACTTTTAGTGATTAATTCTTTCTTTCTGAATTGGTGAGATTTTCTTTTTACAATGGTTGCGGATCGTTATGGTAAGTTTTTGTAAATAATGTTAGATTTAATTGTTTATTTTTTATATTCATTCTCAATATTTAAATTTACTGGAGTTTATAGAGTTAATATTTTAGATTATTAATTATATTTCTTTTGTTAAAAAATCGGTGGAATATTTTAAATATTTATTTTTAATAGCAGACTTATTTTCTTGGGTTTAGTTTTTTAAATTTAAAAAATGTATTTTTAATTTTATATCTTAATTTTATTCTCTTTTTGAATTTAATAATAAAACTTTTTTTATCCACAATCTGAAACTTAATATACGAACATTTTGGTGAGCTTTCGCAAAAATTGCTGCAGTTCAAATTCTTGTGACACAAGCACTCAGTTTTACTTTTGTCAAGTTTTGTTTATATTAATATTACATAGTTACCATAACAAAAAAGCTTCATTCAGAACCTCCCAATTAGTGGAATAAATTAGTGTTTTCAATTATTACACTTTATACTTTTTAGTTTAGGATTATTCACAATGTCTAAAAAACACAATTAAAATTAATAAAATATCCTAGCAACAGCTTGCGGTAGTTTGTTGTATCCATAGAGAAAGCATAATATTTACGAGTAGCTTATAAAACAATAACCTTTTGATTTCTAACCAATTTTTTTCTTGACGGGTGATAATCAAAGGCGAAAATGACGTTCTTCGCGAATTTTGAAGTATAATTAGTGGAAAAGTCAAAAGTTTCTTAACTTTTTCTAATAACTGAGAATTACTACCACTAATTATGACGTTCTGAATGCTTACATTAAAATTAGATGAACAAACTTCTACGCTAATTGAAATTACTAATTTATTCCACTGATTTCGAGGTTCTGAATGAAGCTAAATGCTATATTTGTTCGATTTAAAAAAATAATAGTTCCTGCTAATATTTTCTATAAAAAATTTTATAATTAACGAAATCTATACAAGTTTTTGTGAATAAACAGTTTTATTACATTCGCGTTTTGGTTGCATTTGAAAATGAAACACTCGAACTACGTTCTTGTCACAAATTTCTTGTGTTTAACCCTCGAGCAGGAGCGTCCGGAATTTTGTACCGCAATTTTACCAGTTTCAATAAAACAAAATATCCGTTTGACGTAGGTTTGGTGTTTTGCTAAATATTTTAAATTCGGAATATTTGACACCCTTGTTTTTATTAGCTCCAATAGATAAGCCTGCCAGGTATTGCACTAAATATCTCTGAAAATCTTTTACAAATGCATAAATTAAAAAAAAAGAAAAAAAATTGACTTTAATGTTTATTGAGTTCAACAATATTATAATTTTATACAGGGTCTCCCAGAACTAAGTGCAAGTATTTTAACTGGTAGTATATTTCGGCCTCAGAAACAGACCTATGAGATTTTTTTGTGTTTTTTTTTTGAAAATAAAGATTGTTTAGAAATATTTTTAGTTTTAAGTTAAAAAACATAGATAATATGGCAACATAGGTAGTAGATTAAATTTACATGAAATAAAATTCAGAAAAGATCCAGTGGTTCTCAAAATTTAACACACATCTTTTGTTTAAATTTTAATGTAAAATTACTCGGTTATTTTGGACTTATTTGAAAACGGTAAAGAGAAAAAATGTTCCTTTTGACCAGATCTACCATGCCTTAAAATACCTGCACTTATTTCTGGGACACTCTGTATAATGTACACCTGCATCAATGTTGTAAAATCCTTGACCGACCTTGACTTTCTTCTAATCGTGCACTATTCAAGTGTTTTAAATAAAATAGTTATTATATTATGATATTTATAAAAAACAAGGCTAATTTATTTATACATTTGATCGAAATAATTAATTGCTTTGGTTTTTACTTTATAATAAACAGGGTGATTCGCGGTCATGCCACGTTAGCCGTTTCTTTTTAAATTTGGATTTTTGTAGAAAGACATCTAACTGCTCCGACTGCCGCTTCATATTAACGGTGGTACCATCTTTGTTACTTTAAATAGAACACGCGGTATGTTATTACATTTACATTTTTTGAAATTACTTTAATATATCATAATAGTTTCCGATGTAACAAATAAAACTTGTGTAAAATTGACAAAAACATGATACTGAATAAGCGTTGGTTAAATCATAATATTGAAAGCTAAAATTTTGTTTATAGGTTAAGGAAAGTCGACATATTTGACCTACCTAAATCAAACGATTGCAAATCAAACAGGGAGGTCAAAAAAAAATCTAAACATTCTGGTTTCTTCAGTAAAGCAATTTAAAAGATAATAATTCTATATATGCAGTCGTCTCGTTTACAGAACACAGTTACCATGACAGATATTCGTTATAGACAATAATAGGTATCAATTAGACTTTACTTTTTTTGACAACAAGGGGCCGTCCTCTGCCGGAAACACTGCGACCTGTGAGGCCTATTGTGTTTGTCCCATTTCTATATCTGCACCCATTCTCCTATCCCTGTGCCCTGCACTAACTTATGCAGGTTCTTGATAGGATGGGAGCATAGTTCCTCCGGTTTTAGCGTAGCTTTCCCAAATAAAAAGTGTCGCTTGCGATCCAGAGCCTCGCAGTGACATATTATGTGCTCCGCGGTTTCAGGATCTTTATCGCAGCATTTTTTTTCAGGAGTCTGCAGCAAAGACTTCCTTGATACAGGTCATAGATAAAAAAAAATAATCTTATACAGGTTGAGCTGGTTCAGGTAACACTTGACAGCCATGTGTCCTGTCAAGAGGCCTGTTGTAATCCGCAATTTATTCCTGCTAAACATTAGCAGTTCTTTTGCGGTTTTAGAGCTAGGTCCTTGGATAAAAGCCTTGCTGTGCCTGTGCCCCTGTCTGTTTCTCCAGTGGACATTCTGCTTTTCCTTGATCCAGAGTTTTAGTGCACTACGGGCCATACATTTGGGTATTCCCAGTATTGGTTCTGGACCAAGATAGGATGCCGATGATCCTTGCCTAGTTAGCTCATGGGCTTTTTCGTCGCCTTGGATGCCGCTGTGACCCGGCACCAAGAATTAGACTTTACTTGCTAAATTTCTAAAATGTCATGGTAACGAAATTTTTGAAACGGGACTATAATAATAGAATTATTAATTTTTAAAGAGCTCTACGAAACTGGAAGGTTTAGGGAAAGGACCATGATATATCTTTTGATTTTTTAAATGATATACATATAGGGTTCAATTTAAAATAACAAAGATTTGAGCAACAAACAGAAATAAATTATTCTTTTGCTCTCCCTGTATAATATCCAATCATTTGGTTGAGACAGATCGAATATACCGACTTTCGTTAATTTATAATCCAAATTTCAACTTTAAAATGTTCAGTTCATGATTTCACTAATGCTATTCAATATATAATGTAGGTAATATTATGAATATAATCATATATTCATCATGTTTTTGTCAATTTTACACATATTTTATTTATTAACTCAAAAAATGTTAGAGGTATAGGTTAGTATAATAGAAAAATTATGACATATGAGAAGGTTTCCAAAAATGTAATAATATACCGGTTGTTCCATTTAAAATAAGAAAGATGGTATAACTTTTCAAATGACGCGGCAACATTGTAACGCTGAAAATATTTTAGATAGAGATCATAGATAGAGATGGAACAGGTGCCTTTATGTAAAAATCCAAATTTTCGAACAAATTCTATCACCTCCATAAACGTCTAAAATAATAATTACTTTCTTTTTATATAATTAATAATTAATTTACTGATTTTGTATTAAGTCTTTGTATACTGGGTATTTCAAATTCGACTCTCAGATGCGGGGTCGCGTTAATAGGGGTAAAATGGCTTGTTAATGGTAATCCGTTTAGTAATTAAACTTATCTTTTTATTTTGTTCCGGATAAAAAATGGCGCAAAACTGAAACAACAAAATAAAACGGTATGAAATTTTGGAAAAAGTATAAACGACATTAACCATTTTAGAACAAGTAAACATTTTTATGAGAAATTCATTTTTACCAAAATGTTAACAATAAAAAAGTGTTTCCTCTTGTAAAGACAATCCGAGGACACACTGTATACCATTTATTAGTAATTCTTTTTTTTGTTACAGGTAGAGAACAATTTTTATACTAAATTAATTAAAACATCCTTAAAAACAAATTAATTAAAATACATCCAATGTATCATCAATTACATAATCACTAAAAAATATTATTATTCAGAATAAGTTCTGTGTATGTTACAAAATTTTGAAACGGCATGCGTTTTGGTCTTGAACTCATTATGACTTGACCCAGTTGCTAATATAAAGTATCAAAAAGATGGTCAATTTTTTGTAAAAATCCGTATATTTATCTTAATATCACCATTATAAATTACCAAACATATATACAGGGCGAGTCGAGTCTTAAATAAGTGCATATAATCTTAGAGGTGGTATATTTCGTTCTCATAAACATGCCAGTCGATCTTCTAAACATAAATTTTGCGAAAACATTTTTATGGAAAAATTTTTATTTTTCGAAAAATATTTTGAATTTTCTGTCACTTTAAAAACATAATATTTTGATAATATTTCAACAAAGGTAGTAAATTAAATTTCGAGGAACGAAAAATACTGAAAAAAATCCAATGATTTCTAAAATTTGGGCAATTTTTTTTTAATTTTCAAAGTAAAAAAAATCGGCTATTTTGGAACTTGAAAAATGACAAAGAGAAAATATGTTTCTTTTATCGAAATCTACAAGTGCTATACAATAAAAATAAGTGTACTTATTCAAAACTCACCCTGTATAATTTAATTCGGCAAAATCGTACAAATTCAGAATAATTGATAAATGTCAAGTAAGCAGATAGATTATAAAAGTATTTAAATACTATTTTAGATTTTGATCGTTTGCAAATAACGGTTTTGAAAATATTCATAAAAAGTAATATGTATTTTTAAATTATAGAAGTACATTCAATTTATTTAAATGTAAAAATGTCAAGTAGGTACCTCAACTTTCTAAAAATATTAGGACACACAAAACATTGTTTGT